AAGTCCTCACATCAGTTATAGTCTACCCGATTTCTGTATATAAAGTCCTCACATCAGTGTTATAGTCTACTGATACCTGATTTCCCTGTATAAAAATCCTCACATCAGTATTATAGTCTACTGATACCAGATTTCCCTGTATAGAAGTCCTCACATCAGTGCTATAGTCTACTGATACCAGATTTCCCTGTATAGAAGTCCTCACATCAGTGCTATAGTCTACTGATACCCGATTTCCCTGTATAAAAGTCCTCACATCAGTGCTATAGTCTACTGATACCTGATTTCCCTGTATAAAAGTCCTCACATCAGTGCTATAGTCTACTGATACCCGATTTCCCTGTATAAAAGTCCTCACATCAGTGTTATATTTCCCTGTATTCTCACATCTGATACCTGATAGATTTCCCTGTATAAAAGTCCTCACATCAGTGTTATAGTCTACTGATACCAGATTTCCCTGTATAAAAGTCCTCACATCAGTGCTATAGTCTACTGATACCCGATTTCCCTGTATAAAAGTCCTCACATCAGTGCTATAGTCTACTGATACCTGATTTCCCTGTATAAAAGTCCTCACATCAGTGTTATAGTCTACTGATACCAGATTTCCCTGTATAAAAGTCCTCACATCAGTGTTATAGTCTACTGATACCAGATTTCCCTGTATAAAAGTCCTCACATCAGTGTTACAGTCTACCGATACCAGATTTCCCTGTATAAAAGTCCTCACATCAGTGTTATAGTCTACTGATACCCGATTTCCCTGTATAAAAGTCCTCACATCAGTTCTATAGTCTACTGATCTTTCCTTAAGAAGGTGCAGCAGCACAGATCTTCATTCATGCCTAACCTGGATTTGTATGAGCTTAATATCCTCTTGGTGGTAAAACGTTATAATAAGAAGTATGAATTCAAAAATTCATTATTCTGGATCTGCTTTTTAAATGTTTGTATATCTGCCTTACAAATTAAAAAATATGTATTCAATTCATTGAACTGGATTCCTTTCTTCAAATGATAAAACTTTGGGTAGCAATACATCTGGTTACCTATGTATGTAGATCATTATACTAGGTCTCCACTCAAAATTCACTCTGTTAAAAGTGCGGACATTTCTGTTACTTGAATGTATATCATTTATATGTCTCTACTTTTGACACTTTGAACACTTAATCATCTCCATGGTAATATGCTACTTAAAGTCATCTCCATGGTAATATGCTACTTAAAGTCATCTCCATGGTAATATGCTACTTAAAGTTATCTCCACTCCATGGTAATATGCTACTTAAAGTTATCTCCATGGTAATATGCTACTTAAAGTCATCTCCATGGTAATATGCTACTTAAAGTTATCTCCATGGTAATATGCTACTTAAAGTTATCTCCATGGTAATATGCTACTTAAAGTCATCTCCATGGTAATATGCTACTTAAAGTCATCTCCATGGTAATATGCTACTTAAAGTTATCTCCATGGTAATATGCTACTTAAAGTCATCGCCATGGTAATATGCTACTTAAAGTCATCGCCATGGTAATATGCTACTTAAAGTTATCTCCATGGTAATATGCTACTTAAAGTTATCTCCATGGTAATATGCTACTTAAAGTTATCTCCATGGTAATATGCTACTTAAAGTTATCTCCATGGTAATATGCTACTTAAAGTCATCGCCATGGTAATATGCTACTTAAAGTTATCTCCATGGTAATATGCTACTTAAAGTCATCGCCATGGTAATATGCTACTTAAAGTCATCTCCATGGTAATATGCTACTTAAAGTCATCGCCATGGTAATATGCTAGTGAGGGTATCGAGAGGTAGAAAAGAGAAGTGAACATAATAATATATTCAAAGTGGATATAAAGGAAAGGAGACAAGTAGAAGATAGTAACAAAATCAACAAAACAGGTTGCTATGCAGCAAAATCATGACAAAACACACAAAGGTCGAGGACAGGTCACCAGATGGCTGTCTGACCCACTACTTTGTTTACAACTAAAGTCCATATATGGTACTATAGTAGAACATCCTCTCCCAACTAGACAGTTTTATTACTATAACTATTGAAGGAGTTTGTAAACTTACAAACTTAGTAATGTTATATAAATGAATAAAAATATATGAATAAACGGAAAATCAATGAAAAATGTCTCTTCTACATAGATGGATACCATCACTCGCATATTACCATTTACAAAATACAACACGAAATGTCTACACAATCAACTGCCACAGAATCGGGGGTTCTTTTTTAAACTACTGACCACATTTTCATTAAACACTTTCTAACACCACTCACTGGTTTTATTACGATTCTTTCACAGAATCTTAAAATTATGATAATGGAATGGATAGCAACTGGAATATTGGTTCAAAAGAACAAGGAACTAGGACAGTGTAAATTAATAGTGTTATTGTTGCTATGGAAACTGCAGAAATGTCACTGAATTACCTGTATAATGAGATGATAGCCAAAGAAATTTAAGTGTGAAACTTGTCTTATCTTTCAAACAGTACTTATCAGTAAATTAAAGGTCTTTCATTTGATACCAATGTCAAACTAATGTCATATTAACGGGAAATGGTGTAAGTATACCTAACCACAGGCATGTTGTCATGGTGATAAGATATCGTCAAGGGAAAACAAGCATAGTATTCAGCAATTAATATTGTTTATAATGTATTGAGGAAAATGGATCTAACCACAGGCATGTCATGATCCATGGAAAATCTTCACGTGAAAGCAACATCAGTATTCAGCACTACAATTTTTGGATATCATATCTTTCATACGGGGTGGAAGAAAAATGGGGAGTAAAACTCGTGTGATGATTGTTTTGTAGTGATAACTGAGATGAGATCTTTCTTCATGCTCATTAATACATATGCTGAGTATATGACGGACATACTCTTAAACATCATAAAGCACTTACACCACATACATGAAATATACCATGCATACTGTCTCTCAGATGTACAATAATAAAGTATGGGGATTGTCAGACTTGGTATTGAGGGCAGTGTAGGGAGGTGGTGATACAATCCGGGGATATCTGGGCAGGATAGTGGTGGCTGTTTTATGAAAATGTGGCAGCAGGCATAAGAACATATTGTATCATTAAACATACCGATGGTTGATATTTACAGAAATTGTCAAGATAATAAAAGCAGTAGTTGAAAAGCTGATATATACAATGCTATCAGCTCTTGATATTGCATTCCATTCATTCTGCAGCTATTTAAGTGAGCAAAATATCACAATGTTCTAGCGTCTGATCATAGGAGATGTAGGAGCTGTTATATAAAATGTAGTGAGTCAGAAGTCAGACAAAATATCTGCAGCCATTTCCAGATTCCATGACAACCGCCCTCGACCTTTGACCCCTTGACCTGTCCCGAGTGTCAACAACAACCAACTGATATCAGGTCTATTGTATCTCCTGAAGCAAAGAGTGAGATTACGTTAAGGTGTTGCATCACAAACAATGGTGACGGTACATCAAATTACAGTGAAAAGTACAGTGACTACCACCTCATTCAGGGGTCATCTCAAAAGACTAATTAAAGAGGTCGTCTCAAAAGATTAACTACACTATCCACTGATGTTAGATTTATCAGTTAAACATCTAAAACTTTCCACAAAAAGAGGTCATCTCAAAAGATTTACTACACTATCCACTGATGTTAGATTTATCAGTTAAACATCTAAAACTTTCCACAAAAAAGGGGTCATCTCAAAAGATATCACTTCACTATCCATTTGTGTTAGATTTATCATTTAAACATCTAAAACTTTCCACAAAAAAAAAAAAAGGAAAAAAAGAAGTCTCAAAATTGATTTTGTTGTGTCCCTTGTTTTCAGCTGATCATTTGAAAAAATTTAGATTTAAAAATTTTTGAAAATAAATAATTTAAGTTTTGTTTTCCATCAAACTAAGCAAACTAAGATTTCATCTGATAATTCCCGTTTCTGATCACAGTATATACACAAACTTAGATCTTGTCTTTGTCGTGTCTTCCTTGGTCTTTACAGAAGGTTCAGCAATCAAATCTAATTACTTGTTAACCACACCTAATCTACAAATCATGCCAAGCCAAAAATCACATGCAAATAACTTTTACCCAGAAACATTGTGTAGAGGAAGAATATTTAGGTTACTACTAGCTAGTGAGTTAAAATCATTCAGCCTGTTTTGTAAGAATGATCCTAAAATACAAAAATAAGACTTATGTTACAAATTTTGTTTCATCTTGGTATCAAAACACCTATTTGCTACGTGCATCAGGTATTCTAAAATATGTAACCGAATTGTGTCAACTAGTGTTGCAAATCTTGTGCAGTCTTAATTCAGAATGATCAATATCTTTTTATTTATTTGTCACTGAAGTAATTAATGCTAAACTCCCATTTTCTTTGATAAGAAATCTTCACTTTGATGCCAAGACTGACATTATATTGGGAATCTACTTCAAACAGTGTTGTAACATGGCGAACGGAAATGTAAATATATTCAACTTGTTCAATTTGTTCAGTCATTGTTAGGTAGAACTTTCGACTAATACTAATGAAGTGAAACCAGTTCTGGTGAGAGTGGATGGTGAAAAACCCAAAAGCTACTCATGGCTGTAGATCATACTTGATAATTCTTTTTTTTTTACATAATGGTACAATTTGTTATTTGTTTTAACCTCATAATTCTTTTCTTACATAATAGTACAATTTGTCATTTGTTTTGCTATTCTCATCAATCCACCTTAGACCAACTATTTTCTTTTAAGGTTAATAAAACTGAATTTTGTCACTCAAATGCTATAAGGAACAAATTTTTTTTTAGTAAATTTTGCCTTCAGTCAAGAGAGCAGACTTAACAACCGGCAAAAAATTCATGTAAAATTTTAAAATATGACGTACTCCAGTGTGTATGATTGTGTGTAATGGAGTGTAAGGAAATCCTATGGTGTATAAGGTTAACTAGATATGATACTTACATGTTGGTTCCTGTGGGGGCGAGGTGGTGAGGGCGTCCACATAGTTAGAGGGAAACATGCCGCTCTGCCCATTACATTCGCCCGACCACCAGTTGGCGTCATCCTTACTGATGACGTTTATCACAGATCCATTATGGAATGTCAGCTCATCGTCGTTCTGTGCTGTGTAAGGGTACAGGGCCACCACCTGGTCAACTGTACAATTTACAAACTTGTTATCAACATTCAATATACATATAATGATTTCCGGTGATGCGACTTATGGGAAAATAAGCATGGTTGGAGACAAAATTTTGTACATAATACTGTATTTCTCTGCAAATAAGCACCCTCCCGTAAATAAGCCCCCTCACCACTTTTTCCAATTTGCCAGGAATAGGGGGGTATTCGCAATTAAGGTAGTGGTTTTTTGTTAGTTTTCTTGCAGTCTCTCAATTTTACATAATCATGGATAATTCCTATTTGAGTTAATTTGTGCCAAATGATTAATTACAAACAGAACTTCTCTGAAGTTGAAAAGATTAGAAATTGCTTTAATGGAAGAAGGTCACTTCAGCTAATTATTGTACACATGAAGACCTGACCCAGTAGTTTCGGAGTCTTTAGATGTCATGCATGATTGACACTGAAGCCTGTAACAGGAAGGAGACTTACTGTACTTGATCTCTGGCTGTGTTGGTTGACTTCCTAGTTGGGGTGGAGGTATGGTAGGAGTGTTTGTTCTGTTTATCTAAACATGCAAAATAAAGATTGAAAACATTTGTTGCATTTGTTTTCGACTGATAAATCAATTCTCCAATTTGTTGAGAAGTTCAGAACCAGTAGAAACACTCTTTCCCAGTGAATGAGTCATCAATCCAGGTTTGATAATTCTGATAATCCAGAACTAATTCAGCAGCAAAGCACTAGACTTTAATGTAATATTATAACTGTATGTAATTACAGCTTAGTCAACAGCAGACAAATTATTCAGTTCAACCAATCACTAGTGAAAATTGCATTTCATTTAAATTTTACAATATTAAGTCATATCTCAACAACATTTAGAAACAAACAGAAATTAATATATACAAAATGTATATAATATTATTAAAGATTGTCAAAATTACTGACAATTAAGTCAATAAGTGTTTTTATCAATTTGGGATTAAAATACTCATAAATGCCAGCTTAATAGTTTCAAATGTCAGAGACTTGAAATTTTACTATCTACGTAAACTATGTACTAAATTTTGATGTGTTAAACTTACCGTGGTTGCTGGGGAAGAGGTGCCACTTTGAGCCTGTAGGGTTGTGTCAGGGGTTGAGGGTTTACTGGATGCTCCTAACAATTTTACGTAATTGGCAGGAAACCAACCGATTTTACGCTTCTGTCCCCTTGCCTATAAGATAAATCAGATTGGCAGAATTAGCAGAATTGGAGGATGAACACTTTATTTATTAAAGAACCTCTTAAAAGCTATATCTACACATCAATGTCTACTTAATTATGTCACAGAGGGAAAAATTTCAAAACATCACTTGAATGGTTTCTCCAATGTCACATGACATAAACTGTTGTGATATGATAAAAAAAATAAAAATAATCACCAACTTTAATTTCAAAAGAAAATATTTTAACAATAATGAAAACACATACAATACCCTTATAACATACACATGGGTTAATTAAAATTGTCAATTGTTAATTGAAATGTAAAATAAACATGGTTTTGAAAGATATCGATGCCAACTATTGTTGCCATGGTTACCTGCAGTTCGCCTTCCCACCAGCCACTGGGGCTTTTCTTGCGGACCTGTATAAGTTGTCCTGGTTGCAAGGAGAGTTGTTCTGGACCTGTGGCTGTGTATGAGGCTATCACTGACGCTATCTCTGTAATAATATAGTCAATGTTTGGTGTAACTTCCTTTTTCTACTGCCATACAAAATATATTCATAGCTAAACAAATCAAGAGAGCTGATCATGAAAACAAAATAACAGGAAATTTACCAGCTATATGGTACTAGCAATCAACAATATCCACTGAATTTATCAATATAACAATCATTCCATGAATTTCATAACCTGGATCTTTCAGCAAAAAACCAAAAATTCAAACTACTTCAATTTCACAATTCCTAAACAGCACAATACAAAAAGTCCATTATTGCAACTTTTTTCCAGGAATTTTCAAGAAGGTCTAGACTGTCTAGTTGCTAGAGACTGATGGTGATGATTCAGTTTCAGAGCAAAGCGTTCATGTACTCACCTGGCTTTTTCAAAGGTAGTGAACCAGATTTACTTTGTGACGTGGAAGCTGGAGCTGGCTAAATGAATGAAACAAAGTGCCACGGTTATAAGCAGTTACAGGAAACTGGTTAATTAACACTGATATCAGAGTTTCTCAATCAAGACATACATAGGATGGTCTTTTTCTTAAGTGGTTATGAGAACTGCCTTTTTTAGTAAGTGGATACGATATCAGGAAATTCTCATTTTCTATACTGAACTTTTCATTCTGATGATTTCTTAAACAGTGAGCAACAACAAAGAATTTTTTACATCTATTACAATTATTCATAATTAAGGTAATTCTATTCCAAATAATAAACAATTATACACTTAAAACTGAAATATGCAGCGTGAAAACCTAGCATCCATAGGTTTTACTTTTGCTCTGTAAGAAAGGTTGTAGTGATTACTGATAGACAACAGGAGAAACACACAAAGGCAGACCTGTAATAATGCAAAACATAGAAACAGGTTTAGTGAGAAGCTACAGGCAGTGAGGCAAGGTCTGATGCTGAGCAGGCTGTGGAGCTGTATTTGTTTTCTGTTAGGCAAGACCTGACCTAGCAACTTGTGTGATCTGTTAAAATCCTCTTTTTGTATTAATATGTACTAAATACTTTTATGACCACATCCAAACAAATTATGTCATGCAGTTAAAATTCAAAATCCAGAATAACTTAAACAGTATTACATCAAACATATGTCAGAAGATGGTGTGTATGCTTAGCATTTTTCATTCAACGACTGTTTTTCAAGCCTTTCTTTGAAAATAAAAGCTACAATGATCAGAAGAATGTTTCTTTATATGGCAAACAACAATGTTGATCATGAAATGAATTAGATTTGTGTTAAATATTTTTTTGGTGCACTGTAGACCTTATCATTAAGATATATCAATTGTGGATAGACCACTGATTGCATGGAAGGGACTAATGGTATGGGTGTGGGTGTGGTTTTGAGAATGTGCTGGGTCATTCCAAGTTTCTCCTACCTCCGGAATAACACTGGGCATTAATCCAGAAACATTACTAGTAGAGGATATGTTCTCTAACACCACAGTTCCTGATGAAAGTCGAGTCTGTGTAGTGGACTGTGACACGTTGATTTCTTCATATAACTCCATTTCATCTTGTTCTGTTTTTGAGGGCTGAGGATTGCTTGCCAATGCACTGACAGGATTAGCTTTCTTGTCTGAACTACTCACAGGTTCTTCATAGAGGCCTTGATCAGGTACCTCTATCGGTTCCTTCGAGGCAGATGATGATGTTATTTTCTTCATGTATTTGTTAACCCAGCTTTTGCCTTTTTTCTTGCTTTTACCGGAAGAGTTCTGTTTGGGTGCTGATCCAGCATCAGCAGCACTCTGACCTGTATTTTCATAGTTTGATTCTGTTTTAGAATTGCCAGGTAGTTCTAATTTGGATGTAGATGTTGACACTGTATTCACATTTCCATATTGCCCTGGGATACTTTCAGTATTAGAACTAGAGGTAGCCATTGATCCAAAATCTGCCACAAACCCACCAACAGAAGCATCATCATATGCTTCTTCCTGTCCTGTTTGAACCCAAGTCTGATTTTTGTTATGCGGTGATGATAAGAAATCCGGGCCGAATGGGTCCTCTAAAAGTTGTAGAGGAGTGGAACTAGACAATGGTGGTTCACCTTCTGCAATTTGACCCAAATTTCCCCCTATAGATTTCCCATCGCCTACAGCACTTCCGATGTTTGTTATGTCAGCTTTTTCTTCTGTGGTTCCAAGTCCTTGCTTCCAAAAATCATCAGGCAAATCCTCATATAATACTTCTGGTTCAAAATGCACAGTCTTTTGTTGAATCTGTCGTGGTGGCTTTGGGGGTCTGGGAGGGATTTTTTTAACAGAAGGAAGAGGAGGGGGGCAAACTTCCTCATAGGTAGACTCAGGATTTTCTAGGACATGCGAATGGTTGCCATTAACAGGAAAGGCTATTGTTTCTGTGATGTCACTATCAGTACCTATGATAGTGGGTTGTGCTGTTGGGGTGAAGTTGGTCTGGAAATTGTTTTGTAGGTCAGTTGATGATGTACTTACATTCATATTGAAGCTTGTGGTACCTTCTGACTGAATGTTGGCAAATGCATTTGAAACTTCTTGGTCAGTGCTTGGTGACATTAGATTTCTTCCTAATGCTAAGACATCAGTAATGTGTTTATCTTCTGTACCTGCAAACAGGTCACCACCTCCAAAAGGAACAATAGAAGCAGATTTGTTTAGACTATCAACATCATCCAGCATCTCTCTCCCGGAATCTCCGAACATATTAGTACTTCCGTTATTTCCAAATGGATCTATTCCTGTGAAAGGGTCATCTCCTGCGCTGAAACCACTAGCAGTGTCATTCTGCATTTCTACGAATGGATCTGACATATTATCAGCACTTGGAGTATTTCCTACACTTGCAAAAGGATCTGCTCCTGCAAATGGATCTGATACTGCTCCAAAATCTTTCTGAATCTGATTTTCTGCAAAAGGATCTGAAGTTCCGAAGCCAGAGAATGGATCATCTTTTGAAGATTCATCATTTTTGGGACCACAAACTTTATCCTCAGCATCCGACTTTGGCTCCACCTGGTGTGTCGTAGGAAAGCTAGCATTGTTGGCAAATGGATCAGCATTGCTAGATGCTCCAAGGGTTGAAGCAATATTTGCTGCCATGCTGACAGGAGTTCCCTGTATTGTCTGATTAATAAGTGGTGAAGACTGCATCTGATTAGTAAGTTTTGCTCCTGATCGTTTTCTTCGGACTGGAGGCAATGGTGGTGGTACATCGTCCTTATCAGGTTGTGTTGTTGGCTCATCCTGACTGATGGACAAACCTGCCGCTGATGACTGCCCACCGAAGCTAAAGTCATCAAAACCAGAAAATGCCGGCTGTCCTGGTGGTTTTTTGTTCTCACCCCCAAAAGGATCTGTGAATGGTGGGTCTCCTACTTTGCTAGAATCCCCTCCAAACGGATCAGAAAAAGCCATCTCTCCTGGTGTTTTGCTGGATTCACCTCCAAACGGATCAGAAATAGCCATCTCTCCAGGCGTTTTGCCGGATTCACCTCCAAACGGATCAGAAAAAGCCATCTCTCCTGGTGTTTTGTTGGATTCATTTCCAAAGGGATCAGAAAAAAATATGTCCCCTTGTGTTGTTTTTGATTCACCTCCAAAAGGGTCAAAGTTAAAATCTAATCCTTTTGCAGTTTCAGACAAACCATTGGCGGATAAATCTGTCTTAGAATCTAAACTATCAAATGTATTTAACTGTTTAGAAAGCGGAGTCGTAGTGTTGTTACCAAGACTTTGGTCAAATACAGCTGCAGCACTCTCTAGTACTGATGATACTGGGGGAATACTCTCAGAGTTAAATAGGTTACTGGGCAAACCAGAATCGTCAGAAGCAATCTAGGATAAAGACAGCAGACCAATCAATACCACAAGCACTCGGCACTTAATCGGAGTTCACTAAACAGACAGTGGAACCTCGTCAGTCCAGATATCCTGGTTCAGCAACTTTGACTTCTGTGAATTTAATCCATTTCTGAATATCTAGTTTTCCCAAGATTTTGTAATAGAACCAGAATATTAGATTCGCGAGGTTCCAGTGTTCCAGCAAATCATGCAAAAATTAAAGTAAAAATAAATATTATCTATGGATGTGACACAGAAAATAAGTAAGTCTACCAACAATACAAAAGAATTAAAAAAAATATAAGCAAAACTAATTTTTCTCAGAAATAAAATACTGACTGATATATAATGCATCGAAAAGTTTCTAAATTATGAGTTTACATACAACTTTAAAGATACTGTACTGCCCAGAAAATTAATTCTGAATATTAAACTGTTTTGAATGTCTCAATATCGAATAATCATGCAAATGAATTTAATGATAAAATGAGTGTTATGCAAAGAAGAAAAGAAGTAAAATAACAAACTTATTATAAATATTAGTAAAGAAAGTACTACATCTGTATTTAGTATAAAACATACACAAAGTAACAAAACCTGTAGTTTTCTACCAACCTGGACCTCAGACTTTTTAACATAGTTCGCTGGAAACACTCCAGATTTATCTCCGATCGAACCTGTCCACCAATCTCCTTCCATCTTGGTTATCATGATGATGTCACCTTGATTAAAATTCAAATCCCCGGGTTCTGCAGAACTGTAGTTGTACATAGCGACATAGCTCTCTGAAATAGATTCAGCAATTAAACTCACTTTTGATAATTTTGATAATTCAAACTACTTTAAGGCTTTAAAATCAATGGAAGGCAAATTTTTGTCAGACTCAGAAAACTTCTTGTTTTGTCACAGCTTGAATCATTGTCATACTAGGAGAAGGAAACAAGATACAATTTTCATAACGTCCAAATTGATAAGGAGTCCAAATTGATAAGGAGTCCAAATTGATACGGAGTCCAAATTGATAAGGAGTCCAAATTGATAAGGAGTCCAAATTGAGTCCAAATTGATAAGGAGAGATATATGAGTAAATCATTCCATGGAATATAATACATAATAGTTTGAGTGAGAAATTGAACATAAGCTTCTCACTGACAAGTGTCACTCCAATATTTCCTCAGAAATCATTAAAATGTAATTACTGTCATAACTGGACAACATAAAACATGATGGTATTTTTCTATGTCAGTTTGCTTACTCTTTATATATAAAATCAACCAAAAATTTTCATGTGTTGGTATTTGTAGTTCAACATTAATAAAAAAAAAACCATCAATAGAGATAAGTATACTGCATCATGCAATATGTATTTCCTAAAGATCTGACCTTATAAGACATTTTATATTCACACAGACTTTATTTTTAAATAACATTACCTCCTTCTGAGGCAAGGGCAGATAACTGGGGTGTGGATCTAGCACTGCCTCCTCCATCAATCTGTTCAGCAGCCAAGGTAGGTGTCTGGGACCTGGAACTGATCATATGGAAAATATTACATCCTGTATAAGCTGATGAAAACATCTAATGTTGGACAACTTATCTTTTTTACTTTCTATTTTTTTTTATTACAAGTTGATCATTCACTGTTGCTTACCAAGAGAAAAAACAAAACAAAGCGAAAATCACACGTCCTGCCCTTGTGGTAAATGAATTATAATGGTATTTGTCAGCACACATACACATCTTACCTTCTGTTAGATCCAGCCAGTGCAGAACCTTTTAATTTAACATAGGACTTTGGGAACCAACCAACCTGAGAAACAACAAAGAAAAAAGTTAATATATCAGACAAAACAAAACAGTGAGGTTTTGGTAATTCAGCAACCTTGGTGGTGAAAGATTGAAGCTCAGACAATTGCAAGAAAAACTGGAGTTTTGATAATTCAGCAACCTTGGTGGTGAAAGATTGAAGCTCTGACCATCGCGAAAAAAAACTGAGGTTTTGGTAATCCAGCTACCTTGGTAGAGAAAGATTGAAGCTCTGACGATCGCTAAAAAAAACAGAGGTTTTGGTAATTCAGCAACCTTGGTAGAGAAAGATTGAAGCTCTGACAATCGTGAAAAAAAACCTGAGGTTTTGGTAATTCAGCAACCTTGGTGGTGAAAGATTGAAGCTCTGACAATCGTGAGAAAAACTGAAGTTTTGATAATTCAGTCACCTTGGTGGTGAAAGACTGAAGCTCTTTGTTCTGCCTAACGCCACATACCTGTCCGTTGAGCTCTCCAGACCACCACATTTCTTGCTGCTCCTTCACAACAATGATGTCACCTTTATTAAAGGAGAGGTGGTTGTCCTTCTTTGCCTTCCATGGATAGAGTGCTTGGGCCTGGAGTCCATCGGGAGCTGCAGTGCCCTGTAACAGACAGAATATCAAACTCTAGTTTCTGGGGGCCTGAAGACGGTTTAAGTGGCAGTATACTCAGAAATATATCCACATCAACCTACGCCCTTTTACAGTAGAATGTCCACAGTATTTAATTCATACAACACACATACTCTACTTTCCTGGGCCTGAAACTTGACAGCAGCAGTAGTGCCCTGGAAATGAATTAATACCAGTCTCCTGGGCTAAAATTTACTCCAACTAGAGTGATGCAGACTTAGAACTACAAAATACAGTATTGTATATAAATTGTAAAATTCTTGTCTCCCTGGTCTAGAGTCCATGGGAAGAACAGTTGCTTAAGTTAAAAGTACCTAACATTATTTCAACATATCATATATTTTTTTCAATCTGAAAATATCTGCATGGATAATTTTCTGATGTTAACCAAGAAGAATTTGTCTCCCTAAAATTTGGTTACTAATGAATTTTTTCTTTAGTTTCAATCAGATAAGTTGTGAATAGCTCTATGGTGAGGATATAACTATGATTGAACTACACCCTGTTACAGCAAATCAAACCCCAACTTGTGCACACTTAGCTGCTCTGCAACTCACCTGGCCAGGAGTAGGAGACGGTGCAATAGGTTTAGATTGTACCACAGAGAAGGAGGAATCATCAACAAATTTGGCCGGAGCTGTGGAGGTGGCAGCTTTACTCTCCATTGGCTGAGAACTCGTCATTGACATGGTAGCACCACTTGCAACACAAAACACAAAGTTTCTGTATCTCTTCATATCAGTAGATCCCTTGGATTTATTGTAGGATATTGTAGGATTCATCTAGAACATTTTGATATACTTATTCATGAACTTGACGCCATGCCAAATTTAGTACATAACAAAATCTAACTGAACATTATAACAAACAGCTGTTGATGCAGTTAAACTTTCAAAATTTACATCTGTATTTTTTTTCCTGGTACCTCCTGTGTTAAGTTTATTATGAAGTGACTAGGGAACATATCCTACCTGAAGGCATTCATCACAGAAGTCTGACTAGATGGTACACTCTCTTGAACTATTTCAACATAATCTTTAGGGAACCAGCCAGTTTTGCCATCCTTTTCTCCTCCCATCCACCCTGGCTCGGCACCAGTCTGATCCTCAGGGACCTAAAAAGAAGAAAAGATATTATTATACAAAGTTCCTGACACTTGCCAAAGAAGTCTTCTAATGCTTGTTAAAAAGATTCAATATGTAATCATATCTACCATTGTTTTTAAATACATCATTTAAAATTTATTTCTGACAGTAAAGGAAGGCAACATTAATTTACTCATGGACATGTAAATTAATAATATGGTAGATGAAGTTGATACAGTTAAATTGAAGAAATTAAAAATGTTATACCATAACAATTTCGCCGGGCATCAATCCTAACTCATCTTGGTTCCTGGCATCAAACTGGTACATGACTTTGTATTTAGTTTTCTTCGAATCACTGGTTACTGATGTTTTATCTGATTAAATCAAATGCATCCATTGAAAGTGATTCTTAAAGCTAACACAATGAAAAACAATCTTCACAAAAAAAACTCCTGCAACAGGTCAATATGTAGGACATTAACTGTAAACATTGTAAAGTGAGATATATTTTCATTAACTGAATTTGTCAGAATTCTCCTTCATAAATCTAATTATCCTGTTAGTATTTATTCAACCAGACTAATGTTTTACTGATTATGAAATAAAAATCACAAAAACAAGTCAACCTATCACTGCCTTTATGAATTTGATAAAGATCTATTTGGCCTGTATTAGACAAATCAAATAAAGAATATGATGTTAATCCAATTTTTTTTAGAAAATTAATAGACTTGTTACCTGTGGTCTGACTAGAGAAGGCAGATGCCCAAATATCTTGTTTGTTTTCAGCAGCCTTCAAGTTCTCCGAGCTAAACGCACTACTCCATATATCATCTTGAGCACTTTCTGTTGATGTCTTGTTGTCATTACCAAAGGCAAACCATGAACTACCATCATTTGTTGTTGCAGGTTCTGCATACACACAAGTGAGACGTCATTCAAGAATTACTTTAAATCCTAATAATTAGGAAACCTTTTACAATGTTAAATATAGACCATAAGTGTTTATTTCCAGAAAAAAAATCATCAACTGAAACATTTTCATCAAATTATAGAAATAGTCAGGCAACAAAAACCACCGCCATTATGTAAAAAAAATCTCTGGTAAATCATACTTACTTTCTTTCTTTTCACTTTCCTCCCTGAAAAATGGAAAAGGAGAATTGTTCAATACTGTTATCTTGGAGTTGTCTTTGTAACGCTCAATGTTAACAGAATGGAACAGATCTTCAATCAAAATTTATTGTCAAGCATCTTATTTAATACTGGTCAATACTCTTCAGGCAACATTCTTGTGTTTATCAACAAATTAAATGTTCATGTATTTTTGAATAAAGGATAATGCATGAGAGAGAGGATGTTAAAAGCTAAAAGCTTAGTCCAAAAAAAATAATGAACAAAATTATTGTAGACCTCAAAGACTATAATATCTAGTAATATACATAAAAAAATAAGTGGTAGGTGTCAGAAAAACTTATGTTACAGTTTTAAATAGATACAATGCCAGAGAATCTCTAGTGATGCACACTTCATTCTTCCACGTCTAAATATTTGACACCTTGTCGTTTTATTAATTTTGTTGCATTGTTAATTTGACAACCAATACTACGTAAATAACAGTAAAACTTAGGAAATCTGTGTATAAAAACTACACAGACAGTGAGAAAAGTTATCACGTCTTACTTTAATCTCTGGGCCTCCAGTTCCTTGCGTAGCTTTTCCTGCTTTAATTTACTGGCATTCTCTGCCTCCTGTTTATTTTTCTGTTGATTGGAAGTCTGCTGTGACTGTAGTGTAATCAGTTCATTCTGCAGATCCTTTAGTTTGGCATTGAGTTCCTGAAAAACAAAGGGAGGAGTATACTGATGTGAATACTAACACTGAGATTGGAGTTGTTATTTATCTCCTGGAGCTGTGTAAGGTAGGGTGGGGTGAGGTTGGAAGTATACTGATGTGAATATTTACACTGAGTTGTTATCAAACTCTTGAAAATGTAGGGTGGGGTGGGAGGTATATATCTATTTCTTGGAGCTATGTAGATTGGGGTGGGGTGGGGTAGGAGATAAACTAATGTGAATACTTACACTGAGATCAGAGTTGTTGATATCTATCTCCTGGAGCTATATAGGGTGGGGTGAGGTGTCATGAGGTTTGGTGGGGTGGGGTGAGGTTGGGTGGGGTAGGGTAGGGGATATACTGATGTGAATACTTACAGTGAGATCAGAGTTGTTGTTATCTATCTCCTGAAGCTGTGAAGGGTGAGGTGGGGGGTGAGGGGTGGTGTGGGGGATATACTGATGTGAATACTAACACTGAGATCAGAGTTGTTATCTATCTCCTGAAGCTGTGAAGGGTGAGGTGGGGGGTGATGGGTGGTGTGGGGGATATACTGATGCGAATACTAACACTGAGATCAGAGTTGTTGTTATCTATCTCCTGAAGCTGACACTCTGTATCTCTCTCTATCTGCTCCAGGTCTTTCTTCAGCTTCTGTATTGTTGTCTTCTTCAGCTCTACGCTGTGTAATACTGTTCTGTGAGTTTCCGCTATCAACAACAAAAGAAAATTGGTCATAAATCATACAATATAGAAAAGATACATCACTTTAAGGTATTGTTTGGCAAGTTTATTCTTTAAAACCGCTGTACAAGGACAAAGGTTGGATAGATAGTACCATTCAATGGAACTTTTTTGGGTATCAAAAGGTGGTATATAACACAACAGTAAATAGATAAATAAGTTAGATAAAGACTTACACAGAGGGTTACTTTGTACAGTTGTCTGCATTTGAATATGTAGCTGTTCCCTCTCCTGTTGAACACGCTGGTAGTTTTGGTTAAGTAACTGTAACAAAATCATCAGGTGTATAAGCAAAACAAATATGAGATTCCAAAATCTGGCATTTGTAGTACCTATCTGAAACTGACAATCCATTTCATTTTAACCGATGATTAAACCAACCCGAATATATTCAAGCTTTCTGTCATATATCAATCACAGAATGTCTGACTGAAATGTTCTGTAATCAATGGCAATAATGATATTTCATTCTTAGCAAACTATTTTCTTGTAATGAACAGTGTTGACATCTCTTAAAAATTAACAACAATCTTCTAAAAAAAATGGCAAGGTTTGAGTTTGAAATTATTAACAATGAGGTACAAATGCTTTTATACATTCTACTCTTGGAAGCTGACTGGGGTTGAACGCTTTACCTGTAGTTCGTTTTGTAGCCGGTCTATCTCGGACATTTTTGTATCCCTTTTGCCTCTCATAGACTCTATACTGCCTGTGAAGTCAGTCACACCATTGCGAACTTGAGAGATCTTTTGTGTTATTTCCGTCTTTTTCCCCTCCTAAAATTAAAAACATATTTTCAGTGAAGTTTTGATTTTATTAATCCTTTTTTGTGTGGAGTAAAGTGGTATTTGGAAAATGGAAAAAAAAAAAAAAAATAGAAAAATGTCACAAATTACAGAAAAACAAAAAAGAAATGAAACCTTTTAGGAACAAGTATTTACCTGTGATTCCAGCTCACACTTAAGGTTACTGGAACGAGATTTTAGGTTTCCTAACTGCTCATATTCTCTACGTTTCTCTGCCAGTAGCTGTTCTTTTCTCTGTCGTTCCCACTCCATCTGCCTCTGGCGTTCTAACTCACGCCTGGCAGCCTATTTAAATGAATATCATACAGTCACATTCAGTATGATAATTTCTATAATTTTGAACAGGTTCGATGTGGAAGTGGAAATGTTTACCATTGTTGTAAAAAACAATGGAGACCACAAAATATTATGGTTACCAGAAAGGTAGCTGACTTAATAATGAATCAATGATTGGTACAATATCTTATTTTCTTATTATATTTATACTACCATGTTATAAAGAATTTCTGATATATTATAATGTCTATGAAATAAACATCTTATTTACAATATTCAATATTTGTTATATATTCAGTGCTAACTCCTGGTCATATGAAAAGATAAAACAGAAGTTGTATTTCAAGCTAAAACAGAAGTTGTATTTCAAGCCTAGATTTAGAATTAATGTTTGTAGTCAGGTGTTTCTTTGGTCAATATGTCTGCAGCCAATCTTTCTTCAGTACCTCTCTTTGTTCCATAATTTTCTGTCGCTGTTCTTCTCTTTCTCGTTCATTCTGTCTCTGTTTTTCCATTTGTTTCTCTAGTTCCATCTGGCGTTTCATTTCTTGTTCTTGTCTAAAATTAAACAAACACATCAAGCATAAATCTGTGATACTATCATATAGTTTGGGGTTACTCGCAGTGACTAATTTACCACATTCCATAATTCATTGAAATAAAAGTTAACATATTAAACATGGAAAGATGTTATAACTCTTTTTTATCGCTTTGACAGCATCTTACACAAATTGTCTTTGATGTGGGAAGACAGTGACCTATATATGGGCCTGAGTCTATGCAAGAACTTCCATGAAAATGCCTTGTTTCTGTCAATAATGTGTTTCACATTTTTAAAAAACAAAAATTTCATTAAAAAAAAGTGTGCTTTAAGTTCACATATATACTGATCCATTAATGAAATAAATGTGTGTTTTTAAATAATTTACATTCCATTAAAAAGGTAAAATTTTTCCTGTATGTTTGAATCAAACCTTTTAAGTTTACATTTGTTCTTACAGTTAACATAATTAAGTTTATACATACAGGTGAGCTTAAGGTAATTATTTGTTCAATCAACTAACATAATATGTTTACCTTATTCGTTCCTTTTTCTCCTGCTCTTGTCTCTCTTTCTGCATACGAGCCTCTTGTTCCCTCCTCATCTGGTCCTGAAGGGCCTGTCGCCGCCGGTCAAGCTCTGCCTGACCTTTTGCAAAGTTTTCCTTCCGTCTGTCTTCAAATGTCACTAGAAATAATGAAAGTAGTGAATAATATATTATTCATGTCAGGCAGGCTGGTAATGTAAAGAACCTCATAATGGGTTGTTACATGAAACAGTTCATCAAAACTCTCTAGTGTCAAGGCCTTCGTCTGTTAAAGCACACAATAGTTGTTTGATCTGTCTCTAGCAGGAAAAAAGAAAGAATGTCTTTACATTGGTACATGGTAATATAACAAACACTTTTGGAGATTTCGAATGTGAAACTAAAATTCCAGTGAATATCACCAACTATAGTTTTAATCCTTTAGATAGTTGATGAATTTTGTCACGAAATGCAAACACATATCAAAGTATCTAAATAAAGAGAATTGAGACAGACAACTATGTCTACAATCTGATGTATCGTGTCTAAATTTATAGTGATGATCAGAATTGTCCCAGTAAATACTAAGGTAGTTCACCTTGTGACATATCCTCCTCTGGTTCCTGGTTTGTGTTGCTATTGGCCTGGGGCTGTAAAGGCTGTGGAGGTGGCATACCCATGTTCCCCAGCAGGTCTTCAAATGCATCCTTGGGCTTACCTGATAGTGATAAATGGCAAGAATCAGAATTACTGAATACAACAAGGCAGTACTATTCAATAAGAATACATCTAAAATCAAATAAATTTGCATTATCCATAAAATTTACTGTTTAGAGATGACAAATTGTAGTAATATTAATGGAACATTGTACAAACTGACAATCAGTTTCAAACTGCAGCAAAAGTTATCCAAGTCAGCCAATGTAATATTTTATTACTTTCAATTTATGAATTACATTCATAGCTTCCTTTAAAGTTCCAGATTCAGCTAATTTATCAAAATGACAGAATCACGAAACAAAACATTTAGCAGTAGGAATGCAATATAGTAAACAATATGGAACAGAATTGTTAATCACAATTTTCTGAGGAATATCTAAAATAGACATCTGCGACTACTTACCTGGAACAGGTTGGCCAGGTTGTTGTACCGGGTTGACCTGTGGGGGACCAAAGCTGCCCGAGCGACCTTTGACTGGGAGGAGCTCCGGAGGCAAGGTTGGAGGCAGTGTTACTCCCATCTTAACCAAATCTATCAGGTGCATGGCTATACAGAACTCATCACAGGTGAGTTTCCCGTCCTTATCTACATCTGACAGACCCCTGTTAACAAGTAATAAACTCTATATCAAAACAACTTGCGAACACCTCACACCTACAATCAGTGATACCCATTAAACATGGCTTATTTCATCCATCTCAAAACTCTTTTCCATATAAAGCTATGGGATTGTATTTTTAATCTGTTTGTTTGAAGCTGTATATAATAGGACTGTTATGAGAATTATTTTCAATAATAGAATGTTCCCGATATACAACAAGAGTACCGCAAAGCGGAACAAAATACGCCTGTGAAAATCCAAAACAGCAAAGGGGCAAAACTCTTATTCAAATCGTCTAATCAAAAGCCCGTTCAGGAAAACACAATTTCATATCATGGTGGTTAAGCCTACCAAGTTTCATAAAGATCGGCTGAAAAATGTAGGAGATCTCCGGACAAATAAAAGTTTACGACAGACGCTGGACGGACGGACAGCACCATACCATAATACGTCCATCTTTTGACGGGCGTATAAAAACTGATAATGATGTATGTTCCATGTAAGGTAATACAGTCCTTTTGTATACTTACCAAACTTGTGCCAGAATCGGTTGTGGTATACCTGTCTGTAGGAAGATTGCTCTGGCTTCAACACCTAACAAGTCAAACAGCAAATACATGTATCAAACTTGTACTGAATATAATGATAAACAAACAACCGATATGAAATGTATATCTTCATGATAAACAACAAACAACCAATGTCAGATAAAGGAAAACCAGTATTTATCATTACCACAATCAATGTTGATGTGAAAAGTATGAAATGTATATCATATATCAATCTCCATGATAAACAACAAACAACCAATGTTGAATGTGTGTATAGTATGAATTCCTGATCATAAACAATGCCTTTTGATTATTGCATTTAAATACCTGCCTAAAACTTTTTGTGTCAGTTTTATTCACAGGACACATCACAATGCTAGTCCAGTTCATGATAGTTTACCAAGATTTTGTTTCCTCATTTCATTTTCATCTGTATACTAATAACATATTTTAACCTCCAATTACAATTCTTCAAATTCATAAATCTTGAATCCATTATCAGTGTTCTGTTATAAGACCTAAAAATGTGTTAGCTGTAATGTATTATTGTTGAAGAAATATTATAAGATATCAAGCATTTCCACTTCAATCGAAAGTGATTATTTTGTCAAATCTTACCTGTTAAACTACCTCGCTTGTTCCTATCATTGGTATTGAATAGTTGAGTGTACTTCAGTTTACTTGGATGGGGCATTGCAAAGGAACTCATCTGTCTGTAATCGAAAATCTTAATGTCACATGCACTCAGAAAGTAACACACATCATGCACTAATGTACCAGCCTACAGAAAATTATGAAATGATTTCTAGATCATATCATGTATCATCTACCAGTAAGTAGTGCTAAGGTCACACATTTTGCTTTAATTTGGAAACAGACATTTATTCTGATACAAGAATTTCATTTACAGTTATCTCTAATATACATACCCAACACCCATTGGCTGTTGTGGACTTCCTGTGAAGGACCCAGTCCGTGGTTTTCCAGCTTGCAATCCCATCACTGAGAGGGGGAAAAAGTTAAGTAGTTATTTTCTGCAGGAGGTTAATTCACAAACCTTTCAACTCAATTTCCTCTTACTTTACTACTGCTGTTGTTGATGTGTCTTTGGCTTTTTTTTGCATGTTTTAGATTTTCAGAATAAAGAGAACGGAATTAAATAGGACAAGTCTGGTATATCAAAAAGCTATTATCTGTGTCTAATTAAACAGTATGTCTTACTTCCAAATCCAGCTTGGGACATGGGTGGGGCCACTCCATTAGACATGACCGGCATAGTCATAGGACTGGCTACCATTGCTGTTGGGGCCATACTGCCAATCGCTGGCATGGCTGCTGTAATATGAAAAGAATATTTAGCATAAAAATAAGTTTTCTCCTCAGGGTGATTAAAAATGAACAAACTAAAGAAAAATTGCAAAAAATATTATGATACTTTTCTAAGGCTTGTATCAAGAATGCCAATGCCAATCATAGTAACACAGATGATAATTAACTGTATTATGATAAGCAGCATTATTTTCCATGTGATTCTGGCGTGGATGGAAAAAAATCAGCAGGATAAAAAAAAAAAAAATGAAACCGCACCAGTACAAGACGGTACCGAGTTTTTCTAAAAAAATGAGTACCTGTCCATGATGTGTTTGTGACTGAAGCAAATTGTATACAGGATGATTTGAAGATTGAAATCACATTCTCGTGGATTTGATAAATCATACCTTTTAATATAAATCACAATGATATCTTTTGGACTTTCACAGTTACTTCGAAGTCATAGCAGATTTTACAATAGCCTTTTGCATCCTGGGATTGATAGGTCACCAGGTTAAAGGTCAAATTATAGAATGAACAACATACTTGTTTATGATATGAATGGTTGCGTTTAACATACAAGAAGAAATAATTTATGGGACTATAAGAATTAGGTCAGCATGAAAAAGCCTTCTTTGATATTGAACAGTACAGACACTGATTGAGAGATTGCTTATAAACCATATGTAATGTCAAGACCTATATCTTTGCGACAATCTCTGCAGGCACCCAAGCCAAACAACCTGTGTTTATTCATTTGCAAACTTTATTAACTGACAATTTTTATAAATTGCTCTTGGCCGTCTGTTTTATCAATGAACTTTGGTCAACATAATGGTTTCCATTTCATGTTACCATTTTGTACGACAGGGTGTTAATTATATTCTGGTGCAGCTTATATATAAATCAAATCGAAAAAGTCAGTAAAACTCTACTCTATGGCTTATATACTTGTGCAGCTTGTAACCCAGAAAATGTCACATTTTACTGTAACAGCAGAGATGCATTTTGCAAATGTTTCGAGTACCTAGATATGAGACAGGTTTCAAAGTTCAAGTACTTGAGTCTGAAATTTTGTACCTGTGACAGACCTTAAACAGTGAGAACTTGAGGATAATTAGTTTGGCTCCAAATGATTACCTTGGCCCATAACACCGCCTGGCTTAGACCCCATCATTGTGCCTGGACCGGCAACAGACATGCCACCGAAAGATCCCATCATAGGGGGAACTGGGTCTGCCTTCAGGGAGGCAGGCAGGGATTTTGGTAACTCATAACCTTGCAGCTTCTTCTTGATCAAATGCATGGCAATAGAGAACTCCTTCTTGTCCATCTTGCCATCATTGTTCATGTCAGCCAGAGTCCTATAACAATCCAAGTTTGTTACCATTTACCAAAGCTGGGAATCAGTTCTAATGAACATGTGCAACTATACATCAGGTTTATTTTTCAAACGTAATTTTTTCTTCTTTGAATAAGAATACATAAATTCGACATTACAGCAAATATATACAGTATGTGAATTATATTCTTTAACACATCAAACAGTTTAAAACAGCAAATCCAATATTGGAAAAAGTAATCTGTAGACAACAAGACAACTATGGAAAGGAACAACTCATTCAAAGACTTAATATAAAGGCATATTATTTGCTACATATCGTACTTACCAAATCTGTCCCAGGATGGCAGTGGGCAAACCAGACTGCATGAAGAAGCCCTTGGCCTGGTCACCTAAAGCAAAATATTCATTACACAGAATGTACCAAAAAACAAGTACCCTGGTAATATTATTGGATAAATACTTCACTCTTGTGACAATAGTGATACCTTGGTCACCTTTATCAAGGACGATTATCAGAATGGATAAAACATATCAATTCTGTACTTTCTTTCCAAGGTTCTATATGTTTATGACAAAGTGGGGAACAGGATTCAAAATACAATATCATGCAAAACAAGTGTGATTACCATTACACAAGAAAACAACAGCATTGTTATCCAATCCATATCTCCCAGAGCCTACCTGTAACAAATCCATTAACTGGCCTTAGCTGAAAGAACTGGGAATCATGCTTGGTCCGATCCTCTCCCGTGATCATCCAAGCAGCACCACCTGCCACAAATAATGTTTTAAAATGTAGATATATACATTTATCTATATATGTAATTTACATAATGCTAAGAGTTTAAAGACCAGAAAGACGTAATAGATATTTACACACTTTCGGAGATACTCAATACACATACCTATTATCTACCATATGTTCTTGAAGTATTTCAAGTAGTGCTACACATTAACTTCCTGAACTTGTATGAAATTGAGGAAAAAATGATATCCCACTCCACAACTGAATGATAAACAGCATATTTCCTTTCTGCTTTTAGTGCTGTCCCAGAGGCTAAATGCCATGTTGTCTTACATGTATTTTGGAGTGAGAACATATATCCTTGATTTTGCAAAAGAGGAAATATGAATAACTTTTCATATTCAAATGTATGTCAATTCACTAAATTAAATTCAGTAGTACATTATACTAAATCAAAGTACTGAAAGTACTGGTATGCTAAGACCATTAAAAAATAAATTCTTTGTTATTAGCTTGCTATATAATGAAACCAACTATATGTAATCAGTAAATCATTGCAGCCCATAAAAAATGACCAGCAGATATCAGAAATAACAAGCATAGTAGTATTACTTATGTAATACATGTCCCAAGTAGGCTCCAAGATGCAATGATAGGGAAGTTGTCCATTTCTTTGGATACATTGTAGGGAATGCTGATCATGGACACCATATTATCACTTTAAAGACTGTGTATCCTATTGGTTTGAGACCATTAGTTAGACCATCATGCAAATAACATGCTACATACAAATATTGGACAGCTTCATTTTCCAGATTGTTTGTAAACGACTGCATAAGAGTGCCAATTTTCTAAAACAAACATGACTTGTCACCATAACTTAAAATAGAAGATGCCTATTCTTCCAGAAAACCTGGTCTTATTCTCCTTGTACTTTTTCTGGGAATCTTCAAGTAGATATTGACTTTGTTCCAATTTTTCATGTTTATATATTCTTTGTTCTCTAAAACTTGTCACAAGATATTTCATTCCTCTTGTATTATCATTTTTTTTAACATCCTTACAGTGACCTTGAACCTTGAAATTTACAAGATGTGAATATCTTTTAGGTTGTGAAATTTGATAGAAAAACAAGGGTAATACAATGGAAAAACACCCCCATGCAACTATCCGTTTTTTGACTGTGACCTTGATCTTTGATATCTGACCCTTAATTTCTAAAGAAACCGACTTCTCACAAGGGATACATGTTCCAAATTTGATTAAGGTATACTAACTGTCTTGGTCTCAATGCGTTTACAAGGTAATCATATAGTACTTATGCAAGTACTGTGACCTCTACATTCAATCCTCAAAATCATTACTATATCCTCTCCACATTGCCCAGGGATAACTGAAACTGTAATCCAAATGATAACTAATACCCCCATCACCCACAGCCTTAGTTATCTCCCCATGGTGACCTTTTGCAAAAAAACATCCTCTGAAACACAGCGGCATGTGCACATGTTCCCTAATATTCCTGCGAAGTTTTGTTGAAATTGGTCCACAGGTTTAGAAGTTGACCGACATGCAAAACCTGTCTATATTGACCAGATGCCATGGCAATCAATATTTCCAGGGGAAAATGGTGCATGCACATCTACACATTGTCCCGAATATTACTGTAGTTTCATTGGAGTTGTCTAGACAAGATGTGTCTACAGACAGACAAACAGATGGATGGACAGATAGACAACTTGATTCGATTTACCCACCCTTTTGGTGGTATAAGAATGCACAAGAGTGCTTACAAATTCCATGTGGACAGACATCATGGAAAAATAATAATGATAATAATAAAAATAAAAACATGATAAAGATGCTTATATCTTGTTTTCTTTATTCAGTATACTTTCCATGCTTTGATCAGCAATGTAATCGTGTCATGTCAATATCCTAGTACAAGATTGCATACACAAAATTGTTGTAGGTAGACTTTTAAGACAAATAAAAAAATACATGTCTAAGTTTAAATGAAGGTTTTAAACAGAAGTTGTATTATGTTCAGTATACAGTGATTTTTCTAGACAATTGTAAACTATAAACTCGGTATACAGCGATCTTTTCTACACATTTGTAAACAACAAACTCAGTATGCGGTGATCTTTTCTACAAAAAGTTTTTTTATATATTGTATATACATAACTCAGAAAAAAAAAATAAGTAAACCTTTCTATGTACACTACAAACTCAGTATACAGTGAGCCTTTCTACATAAACTTGGTATAACTAGTGAATCTTTCTACTTAAGTAAATTGAAGATTGTAAAGAAATTTACTACAAATGCAGCATACAATGATCTTTTCCACATTTTTTTAGTTTCTGCCATTTGTTGATTCTTCTTTTGTGATGGTAATTATATTGCCGCCTTTAGAGAGTACTGTGACCTTAAAAGGCAACATGGTTGTTAGCATATCCTCAAGTGATTAACCATCTTCAACATCTAATTGGAGGTCGGTTAGAAGGACGTTTTTCTCCACCATAAGGTCCTCAAATCCATTGTTGGTCACAATGGCCAATTCCAAGTTAGAATAATCAAGAGATACCTTCTAC